CTGCTCCATATCTCAGCCTACTCCCAATAATTTTTCACTCCTTAATGCCAGAATCTATCCCCTGCCTTAAAAACACTCAAACACTTCGCTTCCACTGCTCAACCTCAGAGAAAATAATTCTGCTCATCTCTATCTTAAATTGACAACCCTTATTTTTAAATGGCGACCCCTAGTTCTAGGTTCTCCCAGCGATATTCGATAGGTATTGGAAGACAGGAGGTGAGTTATTTGCCACAAAGTTCCTGGCTTCTGACCTGCTCTTGTGGCCACAATATTCATTGTGCTTGTCCAGTTTAGTTTATGTTGAATTATTATGAAATTAGTAAAATAACAGGACAATTTAATTAGGCGTTGCATTGGTGTATGGGGCATCGCTGTAGTAGTTATTGGCTTTGCATACCAGTCTTTTTCTCCATTCAGCATTCACTGTGGTGCAAGTGAACCTTGACCCCGACTGAGCCATCTTAGTCTGATCTGCACTCTACCCCATTCTGTCCCAAACCTTTTGACCTGCACAGATCCTGCAAGCCAGCTTTTCTTACCTTACAAGTTAACATTTTTGAATGTTATATCTTCATCAGGATATATTCTTTTCTCAAATTGTAACCAAATAAAAACGTTTCACTCGATACATATGTCTCCTATCAATTGAATTAGGTTCCAATTTTCTTCCACAAAAACTGACAAGGTGTGAAATATAGCATAGACTCAGTCCTATGATAGCTGGTATTGAAACTCTGCACCTGTATAATAATTAATCAGCAGTTATTAATATGACTTTGGTCAACAATCCGTTATGACCTCTCAGGTGGAGTGAATCAACTCTCTTTTCAACTCCCTTGGTTCACTGCAATAAAGATTTATGCTCCTTTTAGAATTAGGCTTCACTTCTCTCCAAACAAAATATAGTTAACTAATTTCTACTGTAACAGTAAAGAGCCATTTATCAGATTTTCCTGAATGAACAAGTTTATCATTTGCTAACTCAGGAAAACTAATGATGATCCAGCATCAAGTATACAGCCCATGTGAGATGTGTGGGCACACGTACAGATCCCGTACAAAAGGAAGATAAAAGAACATTCAGTTAACTGTCTTTTGAGTGTCTTTGAGCCTTTTAATTCTCAGTCTTCTGATGTTCCTTTTTAATCCATATCGTCACTCTGATTTTTTTCTGTTTGCTAGGTGGTGTGTCAGCTTCTCCCCTACCACGGTTCAGTTCTACATTCTCCACATGATCTCTTTCTCTGCCAAAGGCAGCTTCTTGAAATAAAACATTTATTTATGTATCTCTGTGTTTGAGTTCGTTTCTCCAATTGGGATAATTGTAGATGGTATTTTCAATTCCAACAGTTCCACACTGTAGGGATTCTATGGAAACATTCTCATCAAGGTGTAAAAATAAACATGAGATGAAGATCATTTCAAACCTTCTCCGAGAGAGGGGTTGACTGGCTTCCTTACTTTTGGAAAAGGTTTTAGAAGATAGAACATATAACTGCAGCACAGGAACTGGCTCTTTGGCTCACGATGTTGTGCCAAACATGACGCCAAATGAAACTAATCCCTTCTGCCTGCCCATATCCCTCATTCCTTGCATATTCATGTGTTTATCTAAAAGTTCCTTAAATGCCATTATCTTATCTGCCTCCACCATCACCCCCGGCAATGCGTTCTAGACTCCTCCAACTCTGTGTAAAAACCTTGCCCCTCACATCTTTGAACTTTCCCCTAACCTAAAATGCATGCCCCTTAGTATTAGTATTCAACTCTAGGAAAAAGATCCTGACCATCAACCTATCTATGCTGCTCAAGAGAAAACAACCTGGGTTTTTCTAGCCTCTCCTTAGGTCATACCCTGTAATCCAGACAGCATTCTGGTAAACTCCTTCTGCACCACCTCAAAAGCCTCCACACCCTTCCTGTAACGTGGCAACCAAAATTGGACACAATACTCTAAGTATGGACTAACCAAAGTGTTATAAAAGTGCATCGTGACATCCTGACTTTGTACTCAATTCCCCGACCAATAAAGGCAAGCATACCATATGCCTTCTTTACCACCCTATCTACATGAGGGGCTGCTTTCAGGGAGCTATGGACCTGAACCCCAAGATCCCTCTATACATCAGTGCTGTTCAGAGTCCTGCCATCAATTATATACTTTTCCTTAACATTTGATCTCCCAAAGTGAAGCACCTCACACTTACCTGGATTAAACTCCATCTGCCGTTTCCTTGCCCATATCTGCAGTTGTTCCATGTTCCACTTTATCCTTGACAACCTTGTACACTTCTCACAACTCCACCGATCTTTGTATTATCTGCAAACTTACTAATCCACCCATCTACATGTTCATCTAAGTCATTTATATATTTTACATACAGCAGAGGTCCCAGTACAGATCCCTGCGGAACACCACTAGTCACAGACCTCCAGCCTGAAAAACACCCTTCCACTACTACCCTCTGTCTTCTATGGGCAAGCCAATTCTGAATCCACATGGACAAGTCACTGTGGATCCCATGCATCTTAATCTTCTGGATGAACCTACCATGATGGACCCTGTCAAAAGCCTTACTAAAATCCATGTAAATAACATTCACTGTTCTACCCTCACCGATCACCTTCGTCACCTCCTTGAAAAATTCAATCAAGTTAGTAAGACATGACCTGCCCTGCACAAAGCCATGCTTTTCCAAATATGTGTAAATCCTATCCCTAAGAATTCTCTCCAATAGCTTCCCAACCACTGATGTGAGACTCACCCATCTATAGTTTCCTGGAACATCCTTCTTAAACAGAGGAAGAATTGAGCTTGGCTGTCTGTACAACTTGACCACATCATCAGGTGATACCTGTGGACATTTAAAGTCTTTTGGTTCTTCTTCTAAAAGCATGAAAGTCCTAGGTGTAAAATTGGACAATAGAATTCAACAATCATTTGTCCATGTGTTACGTCATAATGACAAATATTATTCATCAATGAAGCTCAAAGTTGTTTCAATTCTTCAATAAACTGAATGCCACAACTCAACATTGAATTATCAATCTATGCTTTTAAAACAAAACAAGTTATGTCAGGTGTTAAATATCATGCTGGTTCGTTGTTTTTCCACAGACATTTCATTACCCTGCTGGGTAACATCATCAGTGCAGCCTCTGATGAAGCGCCATTGTGTTTTCCCGCCTGTTATTTAAACTCTGAAGTCTTTTGAGCTGGATTACCTCACTTCTGGTTTTCCTTCACAGTCGAGTGTATATGGGGTCGAGCTCTATGTATTTGTTGATGGCATTCTTCGTGGAGTACCAGGCTTCTAGGAATTCCCGTGCTTGTCCCTGCGTTGCTTGTCCCAGGATTTGATGTTGTCCCAGTTGAATTGGTGGTTCTCCTTATCGGCTTCATCGGAGGCTGCACTGATGATGTTACCCAGCAGGGTAATGAAATGTCTGCGGAAAAACAATGAACCAGCTTGGCAAGCCAACCAACCACAACATCATGCTTAACTGTAACACTTCTGCTTTTGCATAATTTCTAGGATTGTTCAGAAAGATATTTGAATGAAACAACAGAAGACCTCTGGTGAATTGCAAACATGCAAGGGGGAAGGGACAAATTCAGCCAGAAGAAAATTGCAGTATTAATTATGGAATGTATTTTGCAAGAAGTACTTTTACAAAGCTGTGTATGTTCAAAAAGAGAATGAAGTACGACATCTTTTTTGGAGGTGGTGAGGAAGGCATGTAATTAGGCAGAAGGCTCTGGAAAGATACTCACCACCTTAACAATTAAGTACTGGGCAAAAAACTCCATTGGGACATTCTCAACTTACCAGGCTCATAAAGGGTTTTAACTTGCCACTAGCAAATTATTGTCTTCCTGGTAGGCATGACAAATGGTTGAGATCTGCTGTCTATGTTTAGGAATCACAATATTTGTCCCAAAATGGGGCCAATTGAGGGAAAAGAGGGGGGAAAGGGGTTGTTGCTGAAAGCCACTCTCTGCCTTTGCTTCCAACCCTACTGATATCCTTCTCCCCATGTTTCCCACCATACAAGATCTGAAAAAAAAGACATACCTCTCGTTGTTGGATCCACTGAAGTCTGGACTTCCAGCAACAATCTGTTGGCTGGCAGCCTCTGACAAGTTGGGACTTCAGTGTCAAAGCTTGAAATTTTCTGAAAGGCTCATTGGTCAACTTTTAAAAAGCTGATTGGTGCTCAACTTGGCATGCTTTCTTGTTGATGGGTGCAATGAATCTATCCACTGCAGGACACAGACTCTGCCACACCTAGGCTGCAAAATAGAAAACTTCGACCAAAGTTTTAATCCATATAACAAGTTTATATATTAAAACAGTGGTTTAGTAACTTAATAGTGAATGAAATACACAAATAAATCATTATATTTTCCTTGATTTTGTAAAAGGTTCAGAAATCGATACATGTGTACTTATCCTTGCAGTTGTCAAGGATGGAATTGGACAGATTTCATTTCAGAAAAATCGTGCAATAATAGGTGATATTATTAATGTGATAAAGTCTGATGATGACAGTAAATCTGCAAAAAGATGTATGTAGTAGAGTGTTTGCTTGATATATGTATGTACAATGAAAGGACCAGAGTAAAATGTAATTAGTTTTTATGTATAGTAGAACTAATTTAAAAACGGGTGCTATGGTCAGACCCAAAGATAAATGATTATCTGTAATGAAATCATACTGTCAGCACTGCAGAAAGCTGGAAAAGCTGACAAGAAAATTGACATTTAGAATGTCGATGCTGCTTTAAATGATGATTTCAAGTATTTTCAATGCCTCTTCCTCTTTTTCCAGAAATTACATCAGCTACTTCACAATATTACAATAGATTTTCAATTCCGTTGCTTTTTTTTAAACAAAGCTTGTTTCTTCCTCTGTTGTAATTCAGGAGAAATACAATAATCAGCCTGTACCTTTTATATATGATGATTACTGATGAAACATTTTTACTTTGCCAGGTAATTAAACAGGATAGACTCGGAAAGGATCTCTCTCAGTGCTCATTATTTGATCTACTGAAATATGATGATTATAATAACGACAAACACCTAACACAGGAGGAGTTCTACAGAGCATTTCGTAAGTCTAAAATCATCAGGTTACATTATATGATCTGAAGAGTAAAACTAAATGCTAATTACTCAGGATGAACTGATTCACTTACAGTGCAAATGTTACAAAGCTTCCAGCTTTGGCTGTAGTTCAAAATTAAAGATGCACCCTTTTAAATGTAAGTATCTCATATTAAAATAATAAATGTAAAAGACTTTTCAAAGGCTCAAAAGCAATTTTGAAAGCAATCTAAAGGGAAAAATGATGAGTGAGAACATAATAACAGAAAATTCAAAGTGTAAGTATGAAGAGTGTTGTCTGGAGTGATGCCATCCACCACCACGGCATCCCCTCACCCCATCCTGTCTCTATGTGATGACATGGAGCTGTAGAAGGTTGGTGTAAAGGAAATTGTTCTGTTTGGTACTTACCAATGTTCTTCCCAAAGTATATCAGTACGTCATGACAAACAAGTTGTAGCAGCTAGGCTGAAAACACTACTCAGCGTCTGAATATATGAAAATAGTTGCAGACGATTGCGCTCATCTTAAAGAATCTGGTATGGTTACACGACTCAGTAGTATTTTGTGCAGGTAGTTTGCAGAGGATTTAATTCCAAAATGTATTGCTTATCAAATTATTCCAATTTACTGCTTACCAAATGACCAGAAACACTTCCAGTCCTGCTATTTGCCTCATGCGTACCCATATAACAGTGAATACAAATACAAATAAAAGTTTTGCTGAACTTACATTTCCCATGCATTTTACACAACAAATCATTGTAACACATGGCTAGTCATTCACTGATATCAGGATAATGTGAGATCATATGAAATAAGCACACGAGTATGCCATTCATTCCTTTGAGCATGCTCCACCATTTTCTGATATAATTCTGATCTTCCACATCAGCAATGCTTTCCAGCACTATCCCCCTATCATGATGTTTTTAATATGTTGAAATTAAGTCTCTAACGTACTCAACACCTGAGCTACCACAACCATCTGGGGAGGAAACTTTGGGAAATACGAAACATATCCTAAGTGAGAAAGGAAGGACAGGCAAAGACAAGTAAATGAACACGATGGTACTAATGAGCTGAAGTGTGTTTATTTCAACGCAAGGAGTATTATAGGTAAGGCTGATGTTGAAGCCGTTACAGAGACTTGATTGAAAGATGGACAGGACTGGCTGCTCAACGTTCCAGGGTTTTGTTGCTTTAGACAAGACAGAGAGGAAGATAAAAGAGGTGGAGGAATTGCATTACTGATCAGGGATGATGCTACATCTGTAGTCAGAGAGAACATATTGGAGTGTTCATCCACTGAGGCAATATGGGTAGAGCTCAAAAATAAGATGGGTGCAATCACTCTGATAGGATTATACTACAGGCCCCCGCACAGCCACCAAAACATTGAGGAATGAATATGTAGGCCAATTATGGAATGATGCAATAAAAACATCATTCATAGTGGGTGACTTCAACTTCCCCAATATTGACCGGGACTCTCTTGGAGCAAGAGGCTTAAGTAGAGCAGAATTTGTTAAGTGCATCTAAGAGGGTTTCTTGAAACAGTACGTGGATAGTCCAACTAGAGGAGGGGCCTTACTGGACCTTATATTGTCTAATAAGCCTGGCCAGGTAACTGATTTTTCAACGGGAGAGCATTTTGGAAGCAGTGCTCACAACTCCTTAAGTTTTAAGATAGCTATGAACAAGGATAAATTGCAGGAAGGTATGAAATGGGGGGAGGGCAAATTACACCAGTATTGGGGAGGCAATAGCCCAGTGGTATTATCACTGGGCTGTTAATCCAGAGACCCAGGTAATGTTCTGGGGACCATGGTTCAAATCTCGCCATGGCAGATGGTGGAATTTGAATTCAATAAATGTCTAGAATTAAGAGCCTAATGATGATCGTGAATCCATTGTTGATTGTCAGAAAAACTCATCTGGTTCACTAATGTACTTTAGGGAGGGAAACTGCCATCCTTACCTGGTCTGGCCCACAAGTGACTCCAGACCTACAGCCATGTGGTTGACTCCAAAGTGCCCTCTGGGCAATTAGGAATGGGCAATAAATGCTGCCTATCAGCAACGCCCTCATCCCAGTAATGAATAAAAGAAAACTTATGCAGGAGCTAGGGAGTGTTAATTGGGAGGAGCTGTTATCAGTTAAGTCCTGTAGGATGTAAGACATGTAGGATTTGTTTAAAAACCTGCTAATCAGCATTCAGGACCAGCATGTTCCAGTAAGGTGATCAATGAGGGTGGAGCAGTGGGTGTTATCTACATAGATTTTAGTAAGGCTTTTGACAAGGTTCCTCATGGTAGGCTCATCCAGATAGGATCCATGGTGATTTGGCTGCATGGATTCAGAATTGGCTTGCCCATAAAAGATAGAGGATAGTGGTAGTGTTTTTCAGGCTGGAGGTCTGTGACTCATGGTGTTCTGCAGGGATCCATACTGGGACCTCTGCTGAGGTGCGATATATAAATGATATGGATGAAAATGTAGATGATTGCGTTAGTAAGTGTGCAGACAATACAAAGATTGGTGGAGTTGTAGATAGTGTAGAAGTTTGTCAAAGGATACAACGGAATATAGATCAGTTGCAGATATAGATGGAGAAATGGCAGATAGAGTTTAATCCAGGTAAGTGTGAGGTGCTGTACTTTGGGCGATCAAATGTTAAGGAAAAGTATACAGTTTATGGCAGGGTTTAATGCCATAGCTCCCTGAAAGTGGCCTCTCAAGTAGATAGGGTGATAAAGTGGGCATGTGGCATGCTTGCCTTTATTGGTCAGGGAATTAAGTACAAGACTCCGGATGTCATGTTGCAGATTTATAAGACTTTGGTCAGGCCACCCTTAGAGTATTGCGTTCAGTTCTGGTCTACACGTTACAGCAAGGATGTGGAGATTTTGGGAAGGATACAGAAGAGGTTTACCAGGATGCTGCCTCAATGAGAGGGTATGAGATATAATGAGAGGCCAGAAAAACTCAGATTGTTTTCTGTGGAGTGATGCAGGCTGAGGGGAAAATTGATGGAAGCCTATAAAATTATGAGATGCATCAATAGTGTTGATGGTTAGAATCTTTTTCCCAGAGTTGAAATGTCTAATACTAGGGGGCATGCATTTAAGGTGAGGGGGAATGTTCAAAGGAGATTTGAGGGGCAAGTTTTTAACACAGAGTGGTTAGAGTCTGGAACACAACTGCCAAGGATGGTGGTGAAAGCAGATACGATAGGAGTGTTCACGGTCCTTTCAGATAAGCAAGTGAATATTGAAAGAATGGAGGGATATGGACCAAGGGCAGGCAGAAGGGATTAGTTTAATTCAACTTCGTCTTCAACACAGCATCATGGGCTGAAGAGCCCATTCCTGTGTTGTGCAGTTCTATGTTCTACGTTCACAAATTAATGTGTTGAAAATACAACAATGTCATATCCTTCTATTTGTATGTTGAGTTTATGCTTGATACGTATGGAAATAGCTTCAAGTAGAAAGTATGCATTATTGTCTTAGTCATATTTATTGTCACTTTCTAAGCTGTCCTTAGTTATTTGTGAGTTGTGATTATGCCATCCTATGTAATATTGCTTTTCAGTGTTATCTCACTGAGATAATCAAGATGGTCATGTATTGTCCAGTCTAATCCATTGTTTTGAAAGTCATCATAAAATTATTTGCCTTTAAAATGTTTTCTCCATCTACTGTTTTACTGGATCATGTGACCTATTAAATCACTGATATCAAAGAAACACGTGGATATTTCCAGTCAAAAATGCATTACTCAACAGATTGCTCTACTGGGGATGGAAATCTGGGCCTTTGTGTCAGATCACCTGCCTGTTTGCAGTCTCAGTTACAGTCTTGGTTTGCTGTGAATCAGCAAACTCTGGCCACACTTAATCAAATTGTGCGTTTAGACTACAAGTTGTGTTTTTCACATATGGCTGATTGAGGAAAGGAGAGATGCAGAACATTTTTTGTCAACATTATTCCTGATTACCACAAGTTCTGCCCCTCACCCATAGCCTCAGGTCCAGGCCCAGAGTCTTGCCACAGCCTTCTCTCCTGAGCTGTGAAACCTTGTCTTGGATCTTTTACTCCCAGCCTCTAATCAACCCCTTGTCTTGAGCACCACTGTGACACTAGCGGTTACCCAAGTTTAATCTCTTCTTTGTCAATGGGCACTTGCTGACAAAGGCTAAGTTCACACGCACCTCTGGGCCTGTCAATCCAGCTACAAGACATTTCAGGGTATGGAAACACCACAGGCAAGGCTATTGAGAGGTGGAGGTGCATCACTTTCCTTCAGGAAGTGAATCAAAGTTTTTTTTCAACCAGCAACAGTAAAGGAATATAGGAGCTGGAGTATAGGAGTTGGGACATTATGTTGCAGTTGTATAAGTCATTGGTGAGGCCGCACTTGGAGTACTGTGTACAGTTTTGTTCCCCCTGTTATAGGAAAGGCATAGTTACACTGGAAAGTGTGCAAAGAAGATTTACAAGGATGTTGCCAGGACTAGTATGCCTGTTTTATAGGGAGAGGTTATTGAGGTGTATAAAATCACGAGGGGCATAGTTAGGATGAATGATTATAGTCTTTTTCCCAGGGATAGGGAATTGAAAACTCGAGGGTTTAAAGGTGAGAGAAGAAAGATTTAAAAGGGATCTAAAGGGGCAACTTCTTCACACAGAGAGTGGTGTGTAAATGGAATGGGCTGCCAGAGAAGGTGGTTGAGGCAGGCACAATAGCAGCTTTTAAAAAACATTTGTATAGGTACATGGATGGGAAGGGTTTAGAGGGACATGGACCAAATGTGGGCAGTTGGAACTAGTTGAGTGGGCACTATGGTCAGCATGGACCCGTTTGGGCTGAAGAGCTTGTTTCCATGCTGTATTACTCTATAACTCTATGAGTGGCAATATTGTTCCCTTTCAGGATAGTTTCATAGAATCCCTACAGTGTGGAAGCAAGCCCTTCGGCCCAACAAGTCCACACCGACCCTC